ATATCAAATTATATTTGAGCATAGTATAATATGAATAGTATCACACTATGACTAATATGAATATATAATAATATAAATACAGTAATATATGAACAATGGTATGAATAATATCAAAATACTAATATTAATAATAATAATATATATAATAATAATATATATAATAATAATATAATAATAATAATAATAATAGTAATAATAATAACACTAATAATAATAACAATAACAATAACAATAATAATAATAATAATAATAATAATAATAATAATAATAATAATAATAATAATAATAATATAAACAATATGAATATAAATAACATGAGTCCACAACAACAACAACAGCAATATATGCAAATGCAACATCAAATGCAAATTCAACAACAACAACAACAATTACAAATGTTACCACCACAACAAATTAACAATCGTTTAGTTTTACCTGTAAATAATACAATCCCAAACCATTCATATATAAATACTATGCCACCACCTCAACAAATTTCATATAATCCTCAAATAATACAGCCACAACAATCACAACAGTCACAACAACCACAACAGCAATATCAAATACAACCACAATCACAACAATATCAAATGCAATCACAAATGATTCAGCAATCACAACCACAACAACAACAAACTCCACCACAACAATACCAACATATTCAGATGCAACAACATACACCCCCACAGGCTCAACAAATTCATACACCCCCACAACAACAGACTCAGCCCTCACAACCAATGCAACCACCCCCACCACCTCCACCACAAACTCAACAAAAAGTAAATGTAAAAAAAGAACCAAATGAGCCAGAACCAATATCCTCAAATCATAAACCCTCAACTAAAGGTTCAGCTAAAAGTAAAAGAAAAGAAAAAGAACTAAAACAACAACAGCAACAACAACAACTACAACAACAACAACAACAACAGCAATTAGAGGAGGAAAAAGCGAACCAGCAACAAATACAACATATTCAACAACAATTTCAACAGCCAGGTTTAATAACCTTAACACCAAATGAAAATGGTAATGATAATCCATTTAAGGGCCCACAAGCATATGGCGTTTCAACAACACCATATACATATGGAGCATATCCACCATTAGAAAAGAAAGATGATTCTTTAAACCAACCAATTTTAGATCAAATTTCTAAAAAAATCAATATTTTGATAAAAATGGTAACAAAGGCTCAAAAAGGCTCACAAATTACTACACAAGATATTTCAGAAGCTGTAACAGCATCTCATGGCGTTACCCAAGATCTTTTAGAAATTATTAAAATTACAGTAAGTTCATACTATTATTATTATTATTATGTCAAATCATTTAGATATTAATATTATTTCTTTAAACTTCGAATTTATAGAGCGATCCAAACTATATAAGAAAATACCAACAATCATCATCAATTTCAAATACACCAACGATGAGTAGTCAACAAGCAAACCAAGGTATGAATAATATATATGGATCACCATCATTTTCACCAACCATGTCACCTGTTTTGAATTCGCCAAATGGTATGGGATATCCTTCACACATACTGCCAAACGGTGAAATGTTTTTCAATCCTCAAGGATTCTCTGATAAACAACTCCTTGTAATTAATTCAAATGGTAAAAACCAAAATGGTGGTCAAAACAACAATGGTAGAAATAACGAAATCTATAACTCTCCAACAAAGAAAGCACCACGTAGAAGAAAGATGAGATATGGCGATACTGAATTATCTTGTCATCAATGTGGTGTTACCAATACTCCAGAGTGGAGAAGAGGTCCAAATGGTGCCAAAACTCTTTGTAATGCTTGTGGATTAGCTTGGGCAAAATCTGTAAAAAATGAAAAACAAAAGGAATTAATGGCAAATTCAACTGGTGTAAATATTGCTGATCCTAAAAAAAATCAAAAGAGAAAAAAAGATAGCGATAATGACAGTTCAAGTAATAAAGTTCAAAAGAATGATGGTAGCGAAAATAATGAAGAAAATAATAATAATAATAATAATAATAATAATAATAATAATAATAATAATAATAATAATAATAATAATAATAATAATAATAATAATAATAATAGTAGTAATATGAATAATATAAACAATATAAATATGAATATAAATATGAATAATAGTATCAATAACAGCAATGAAGAAGAATTTCCATCACCATCAAACCCTAACTCGCCCCAAAACTCAAATTTTAATCAACAAAACCCAACAAATACCACCCAACCACAAATACTCTCTCAAATGAACCAAATACAACAAATTAATTCTTTTCAAACTGGTAACTCAAACAATGACTCAAGAAAACTAAATATTTAATTTTTTTTTTTTTTAATAAAAAAAATAATAAAATAAAAATATAAATTATATTATAATTTTTTTTATTTATGCAAAAAAATTTTAGGGTGTCGCTTTGCAAAAAATTAATTTAAAATAAACCATTCCAAGATATTTTAAGATATTTTTTTTTTTTTTTCAATAATTTAATCATCCTGTTATAATAATCATTTTAAAAAAAAAAAAATCTCAATAGTATTTTGAAAAGTTTAAACCTGGGTGTCTTTTAAAAAAAATATAAATAGTTATTTTTTTTTATTTTTTTTATTTATCAAATAAAACTTTACATATTCACAAAGAAAAGTATTTTAACAATTTTGCGGTATCCACACTAAAACAAATACAAAATGAAAATTAATCATATTACTGGAGGAAATAGATCAATTGGCACCCCACCACCAAGAGGCACTAGATCTGTCTGGTCTTCCTAAATGCTCTTATAGTTATAATCTTTAATATTCCAAAAAATAATAAATAAAATTTATTTTTAATTTTTTCATTATTACATCATACCGATAATTATAATTACCAAAAAATTTCTATATGGTTTATAGAAAAAATTATTTTTTGCCAACATTTTTTTTTGGCTTTAAAAAAATATCTTAAAATATCTTTATTTTTTTTATTTTATTTTATTTTTTAAAAAATAATTATTATATTTAAGAGAGAATATTTTTTTTTTTTATCCAAAATAAAATAATAATTTAAGAGAGAATTTTTTTCTTTTTATCCAAAATAAAATAATAATTTTATTTATATTTATATACTCTAGATTATCAATTATAATTCATTCCAAATAAAAAAGCTTGCTTATTAAAATGAAAAAAATTGTTGGTGTAACTCGTCCAGGACAACAAGGTAATCTTCCACGTGGAAGATCAATTTTTCAATCTTAAACATTATAAATTGAATGGCTTTGTTATATAGACAAAAGAAATGATTGACCATCATATATTCAAGTTTCATTGCTCAATTTCTGCTTTCTATCCAAATAAAACAAAATAAATTTTTTTTTTTAATTATCATTAATTATAATTATTGAAATAATTTTCAATCTCCACAAATTATTTATTTAAATTGGATATAAATAAACATTAGTTATTTCTTTTTTTTTTATTTTTTATTTTCGTTTTTTTTTCATATTTTCTATTTTTTTATTTTTTTTTTTATTTTTTTATTTTTTTTTCATTTTTAAAAATAAATAAATAATATGAGTAATAAAAACAATAAAAGTAAAAAAAGCAATAATAAAGGTGGAGATGTTGATGATATTTTAAACTTTATTAATAATTCATCAGCACCAGCTCCAACATCAATATCAATCAATAAACAACCAATAGATAATTCGAAAAATGAAAAATCATTATTTGATGAAAAAATCAAAATTTTAAATAGATTATTTGAAGAAAATAACATAACAGTAGCTAAACCAACAGCAACTACAACAAAGGGAAAATTTACACCAAAACCAGTCCAATCTAAAAAACCAGCACCTGTTTTACATGAATCATCAGATATTACATTTTTTAATAATGCCAAAAATTATCTTCAAATAATTAAAGAAAAAGAATTACCATTAGAAACTTTGTTAAAATTAAATAAAACATCACTCAAAGAAATTAATAAACCATCAACTAAAACAACTACAGCTAATAATAACAATAGTGGTACCAAAGATAATAACTATGGCTATATTGACCCAAAGAAAATTAAAGTTATAACAGATGAAGAAGCTATTCAATTATTCAAATTATTTAGCAAAACAAAGAATGAAGTTGGAAGAATATTTATAGCATATCAATTCTTTATTTTCATCCAAAACAAAAGAGATTTTGATAAAAATGAATACAGCAGTTTTATTAGTAAAGTCATTTTAGATGAATCACCATTAGTAAACTATTTGGGCAAAAAGATAATGAAAAAGGAAGAGGGTGGCAAAACTAACGAGCTTTCAGAGTGCAATAGTTTAGTTTTAAATCAAGTTTACTCAAGTATAGATAAATTACAAATCATTAAATCCTTACCAGAATCCTCACCAACAGTTCAGTTTTTCAAAGAGAATATAAAAACACTTTTAAATTTAACTGTAAATCCAAAAGACTCAAGTAATGGTATGAACCTATTAGCCAGTGTCTTGTTTTATCAAAAGATATTCGAAAATAGTCCTCCAACAAGTTCAGCTCAATTGTTTTTCTTAGATTTTTATTATAGTCAATTAAAGATTGGTCTTACTTTAAGTACTTATTATTGCGATGTAGTAGATAAAAAGATTGAGGATTTGGCTAAATTTAATCATCTCAATGAAGACCAAGGTAACCCTGGCACAACATCAGAAGCATCAACAACAAATAACACCGAAACCATTATTACTGCCCAACCAAATTAAAAATAATAAAATAATTTATTGACAATAGTTAGTTTTTTTTTTTTATAAATAAAAGTAAAACCAAACCTTTTTTTCACAAAATTTATTTATTTTAAAACTTTATTTTATTTTTTGTTGAGATTTTATAATTGAATGGAATAAAATAAAAGTTGATTTTAAAAATATGCAATCTTTATATTTATTATAAAGATAATATAGGAAAGCCAGCTCAATGGTAATAATAAAGAAGAAATATTTAATAGTTTAAATAGCAATTTTTATAAAAATAAAATAATGAATAGCCTACTAAAATACAGATATAAATAATATAATAACAACAATAGAAAACAAAATAATAAAATTAATAATAGCTATAAATTATAATAATTATAAAATAATAATGGCCTTATTGAACTTTTTAAACACATTCATATATGTAACAATCTTTTATTAAATATAAATAATAATAACCAGAATATAAAGATACTCGATAATATAGACTCAATCAAAACTATGATTGTTGTCATCGTCATCGTAATAGTCATCTTCATAATAGTCATCTTCATAATAGTCATCTTCATAATAGTCTTCGCCGTAGTAGTCTTCATTAAAATCATCGTCATCAAAATTGTTTAATAAATCCTCTATGTCTATACCTGTAGAGTTTATTTTTTGAATAAGTTCTAATATGGCAATTTCTTTTTCTGATTTATTATTTTCATCATCATTTTCTTCTTTCCCATTATTATTGATGGAGGTGATTTTGCTCTTTGTGGGTTTTTCTTTAGCTTCTTTATACATTCTTAATATTGATCTTGCTTTTTGCATACCAAATGATTCTGCTTTCTTTAAATATTGAATTGCTTTTTTTTCATCTTTTTGAATATCTTTAATAAATCTGTCACCATTTAATAACATATCACCATAGATTTCTAAGCCTTCTGAATCATTAATTTCAGCAGATTTCTTATAGAAATATAGAGCTTTGGGTAAATCTATATCACATCTTTGACCGTTATATAAACGGGAGGCGATTCTAACGATTGCAGAAGCTACCCCAGTGTTTTGATTCATTAATGCATTTGGATCGTTACCTATATTTAAAAATGGGTCATGAAGAGATGCTTCGTAGAGTAATGAGAATGACATATCTTGATCCTCTTTAACACCCAAACCAAATTGATATATAATTGAAAGACCAATATACGAGTTTGGGAAATAACGAGCAGAGTTGCTAAGATATTTAAATGCATTTTTATAGTCATCAGTTGATAAATAATCCATACCTTTGATGTCAAGTCCACGACTCTCCCAATAGGCAGGACTTTTCGAACTTTGCATTACCATTGATGCGATTTGGCTTTTTGAAAAATTGTTTTGAGGTAATTTTTCATGATTATATTGATTGAATTTATTGTTTTGAATAAATCTTTTAATTTCTGCATCAAAATTTCTGCTACCATCTGAAAGATACACTCTTTCAGACTCTCTTTTGACAGAGATATCTTTATCTTTATTAATTATTTCTATTTGATTGGTTGGTGCTAAAGATTGATCGCTTTTTGATAAGAGTTCTAATGCATGGTTGTAGCAGTTAATGGCATTTGGATAGTGACCTGTCATTTGCATTGTTATACCTAAAATATGATATGAACGGTAGTTGTATGGACATTGAATACATGATTGAAGAGCATTATTCCTTGCACTGTATATAGGCTCAACATTATCTTTTGTAAAAAGTGCTTCAATGTGCTGCCATAAATTTTTTTTATATAATTCAATATTTGCTAATGCCTGTTCACAATATAATTCTGATTTGATATAATCTGAATGTTGGCTATCATTAATTTCATTCATAAAATCTTTACCCTTTTCTTTAATTTCCTTTACTTTAATTCTATCTTCTTTATTAATTTTAATTTCTTTTGGTACTAATTCTAAAATCTCATTTATTGGATAAGATGGATCTAGTTGAATAATGGAGTCTTTAATTTTATTTTGAAATAGTTTAAATTCATTATCTGTTAATTGATAGTTTCCCAATTCTTTAAGTGAATTAACTTTATACATTAAATAAAAAGAAAATAATTATTAATTAGTAATAATATATATATAAAGTTTATTTATAATTTATATTTACTTTTACTGTTTATAATTTTAATTGTTTTAATTGATAAATTCTCTTTAACTATTATTGATTTATCCAAAGTTTTAAGGTCAATTGATAAAAGTATATCAGCAACCAAATCCAAATTTAACCGATCAAATTTCATGGCGGTAAGATTGGATTGTTCGCTAGATGTTAAACTTTTATAGTTTTCATATTTAACTGAAATAAAAACACCTTTTTTATCATTGGATGGCCACTCCAAGTTACATCTTTTTTTTAATATATTTTGTAATATTGATCGGCATGAATTTAGAATAATAGATAAATTAACAAATTTTATAACCATTTTCTTTTTTTAATAAATTTGGAAAAAAAATGAAAAAGTAAAAATTTAAAAAAATTTTCATTTTTTTTTAATAATTTAATTTTATTTGATTTAATTTTTTAATAAAATAAATAAATTGATAAAAACCGATAATTTTTAGTTTGATAGATCCGATTCAGAATTTAATTACTATAGAGATAATTTATGGACTTCATTTTATAACTTCTCTATATTTAGTTTATACAATTAATTATCTCTATTCTTTTTATAAAAAATATTTCAAGTAAAGACTTTAAATATATATTTTAATTTAATAAAAGAGGAGACTATGTTAAATGACAATTACAATGACAATAGTGAAAAGAATTTATCAATGATACAGGTGAAGAAGAAGAAGAAGAGGAATAGTAGTGAAATATTAATTTATAAAAAGGAGTGTATAACTTTTATATACGACAGCATTTTTTTTTTTAGGATATTTATATTTAAAATGTATAATTATAATTTATAAATTATGATTTGAATCATCATTTATAATTCTATCATCTGATGTTAGTGATATATAACGTTTATGTTGTTTTTATTATCTAACATTTATTTCATATTTTATTTTATACTAAGCATTTATTAAATAAATATAAATTTAGCTTTTACATTTACTGTATTTTTATTTTATAATTTTTTTTCAATACATGTGGGTATAAATCTGCAACAATCATTACCATATCGACATGTACCATCATAGATAAATGATGGATTATTAACCATCAAACATGATAGGCCCTGAATATGGCATTGTAAATCTAAACAATCCTGACACTGATAATTTGATGGCAAACATTCAGGACGACTATTGACGACATAGCACTCTAAACCACTTCCACAATCAACATATATGCATGGATTATCTATCGGTGTTGTAGTTTGTGATTCACCACCCAATGTGGAATATTGAGTAGTATAACCAGTAGTAGTTCCACTTTCAGTAAAATGACCAGTTTCAACCAAAATTTCCGTAGTTGGGTTTTTTATACAGACTGGTTTTCCTTTAAGATATATACATAGTTCATCACCTTCACAATGATCGCAATAATTTGGTGGAGGTTCGAGAACTAAAGGTGTTTGAAATCCACATCCTTCAATTTTAGTATGAGTACAGTTTTTACCTATAATACATTCATCAATTGTACAGGGGTCTCCATCTATAAAAAATTTTAATAGTAAAAATTAATAAAATTGTAAAAATTTCTAAATAAACCAATATTGAAAATTTTTACCTGAACAATTTCTTGGTGTTGAAATACAGGATTTATAGTCCTTAGAGCACGATGATTCATAGCAATCGTCTTTAGCTGTACAACCAAGAGTCTCTGAACATATTAAACACGTTGAGGAAATTAGATAATGATAGCAAGCACCATCTTCACATTGATCCATGGTACATGGGTTATAGTCATTACATACAGTATCTGAGATTCTACAATGGGTACTGTTTATACATGAAACAGTTGTACATTTATCTTTAGAATAACAACCAAAAGATTCATCACTGTCATTGTAAGCTTTTTCAATGTATTTTTGAACCCTATTATTAACAAATGTTTGTTGAAGCTTTTTATTGCTTTTTAATACATTTTTTTTACCATTTTCTAAAGGAAGTAATAAAGGAATTGATGCCATTTGAATTTCGCTCTCACATTCAACACAGTTATCTAGAGGATTATTTCGACAGCTTCCATTTACACACATGTCTTCAGTGCAAAAAATATGGTCATTACAATTATATTTAATTTCTTCGCACCCATCGCCAGTACTATTACATTTCATTGGTTTACATGGATCCTATAATTTAAAAAATTAGTATTGAATATTATTTTTTGTATTATAAACATTGATTTTACCTCTGTGATGCAGGCTATATTTTTACTGCATCTCTCACAGTTTTCTTTAAATGTGTTAATACATGATCCATCATCACATGATGTCACAGTGCAAGGATTTCCATCGTCACATTCAGTTAAAGCTTTATCATGTTCTACACAACTGTAATTATCACCATCCAATATACAGTCTTTGGGGAAACAAGGAGATCCGACACATGAAAAAGTCTCGTTACATACTTTACAATCTGGAATTAGATTATATATACAGTTTCCATCACTGCATGCATTCATTGTACAGGGATTGTTGTCATCACAAACTAAAGTAGAATTCCCACACTGCGATCCATTTGGACCAGTACACTCTATTGGGTAACAATAATCAGTGACCAAACAAGTAGAATTTCCACAAATTTTACAACCATCAATAATAGCATGAACACATTGATCAACTGAAAAACCGATAAGTATAATTGAATATATTTTAAAAATAATTTAATTTTAATAATACTTACTATCTGCGGCACAAAAATCAAAAGTACAATCATTTTTGTCTATAGATAAAGAAAAGAATATTAAAAAAATACTCTAGAAATAAAATGAAAAAACTAAAAAATAATTACCGTCACAATCAACAACTCCATTTTCACAACCAGAACCATCCTTTTTACATACTAAAGGAGAACAGAACGATGTGGACTTTAAAAATAAGATATTGGTATTTAATAATTTATTATTAAAAATTAATAATTTAAATTTTAAAAACTTACTATACAATTACTAGCCTGATTACAAGAGTTACATCTATCAATCAAAGTATTGGTACATATACCATTTGAACAAGAATCTCTGGTACATGAGACTTTTAAAAAAATAATAAAAGAATTAATATATTTTTTATAGTACCATTTTTTTTTGATATTTACACTTATCATCGCAGGGTTTATTTGGGGTACTTATACACCCATTTCCATCTGAATTACAAACTAAAAAAAAATTAAATTAGAAACAGTTCAATATTTAAATTAATTTAATTAATTACTTTGTGGATCACATAGGTCAGTTGTTATACAAGATGTATTTGAACATGAAATACATAATGGATCAGGATTCGAAAATTGGCAAACACCATCACCAGTACAGGTATCAGTGGTACAATAGTTGTTATCTGTGCATTCTTTATCATAGTTTTCACATGAACCATCATCTTTGCATCGTACAGGGTGGCAAAAATCTGTTGTTATACAATTCGAAGAATTACTACAACTAACACAATTCTCTATAATCTCATGAGAACATGAGCCATCTTTAGAATTACATCTATGAGTTTTTATAGTTAGTATAGTTTTAACAGACACTATAAAAATATACATACTTATCCTCCGTGCAACCATTTCCATCATCGCAACTAACTGGTGCATCATAACAGTTCCCATCGGGTCCACATAACTGAGGATTGCAAAAATCGGTGGTAACACACCTATTGCTTTGACAATTAACACAACTTGTAATTGGTGTATTTTTACAAGCTCCAGTGGGTGAAATACATCTGTAATAAAATATAAACATTTTAATAAAAATATTGTGTTTTCTTTTGTTTAATATTACTTACTCGTCATCAGTACATGGAATTTTATCATCACAAGATACTGTTTGCTTATCACATGAAGTGCCATCTGCCGAACAAACCATTGGGAAGCACTTGTCTGTTGTTATACATCTTAAAATATGAATGGTAAGTTTTAAATAAAAATAAATACCTATTACAATAAAAAATAATTTACCCTATATTATCACAATCTTGGCATGAACTTATCACTTCGTGAAGACATGACCCATTATTTGGTGAACAACTATAAAAACAATACTGTTAGTATTTTTTGAATTATCTCTACTATTAAATTATATATAATGTAAAATAATTACGAATCTATTGTGCAACTATTGTCATCATCACTATATTTTTAAAAAAAGAAAATATTAATATGTATTTTACTATTTTTAAAAAAAAAAAAACTTACCAATTGACAGGGGTATAAATACACGAACCTCCTGGAGATACACATGAGACGGTTGTACATTTATCATTGTTGGGACATGGGTCATCACCAAGTTGGCATCCATCACCATTGCTATTACATCTGTATTTTTTATCAATTATAAGTATTAATCCTTTGAAAAAAAAATAATGGCTTACTTACACCTGTGGTTTACATTTATCTGTCGTTATACAACTAAATATTATTTTTAATAAAATAGTAAATTAGTAATCTATGCTTTTTATCATTTTTAAAATAACCATTACCCTTTTCCTGGCACAGAACATTGAACACAGTTATCTAATGGAAAATGGAAGCATGTGCCACGCCCAGAACAAGTATCAGAAGTACAAAAATTAATATCGTCACAATCTTTTCTTTTTGGAACACAGGATGGATTTGTGAGATTGTTAGAGCATGAAACGGGATAACAAGGATTTCTTGTTAAACATGGAAATGTTGCATTGCAAGACATGCATAATGGTAATCTAGAATGGGAACATACACCATTGTCAGAACAAGAATCAGTTGTGCACGGGTCAAGGTCATCACATGACTTATCAACTGTATCACACCCATCTCCTGCAGCGTTACAAACCTGAATTTTGCAACCATCAATGGTAGTACAGGAGGTACTTGAACATGATACACATTTTGGATCTGGAATTGTGGAAGAACATGATCCATCTGGTGACGAACAACTATTGAATAATTGGTTAAAATATTAAAATATAAAATTATTATTAAAAATTTTAAAAAACATACCTGTCAGTAGTGCAAAAATTACCATCTAGATAATAATTGTTAATATATATTATATATTTAATATTTAAATATATGAATTTTTAAAATTATACATACCAGAGCAATTTTTGGGAGCTGTTTGACATGCATTACCAGTACTATCACATCTAAAATTTTATCAAAAATTAATAAAGAATAAAGTGAAATAATTTATTATGAGTTTACCTACACCTGAGGATTACAAAAATCTGTAGTTATACATCCAATACCTGGGCAATTTATGCAATTTTCGATTGGCGTATTTATACAAAATCCTTTTACACACTTTTATAAATGAAATTACATAATTAGAATTTTATTTTTTTTAAAAATAAATATTTATTTACCTTATCATCGGTACAATAATTTCCATCGTCACAACTAACAGGTTTGGTTACACAAGTAGTTCCATCGGGTGAGCATCTAAATAAAATTAAATATTAATAAACTTCAAATTACCATAGATTGAAATTAAATACTAATACTGACACTTGGGGATTGCATATATCATCAGTAATACATCTATATTATGAAGAAATAGAATGAAACTGTTAATAAAATACAAAAAATAATAAGATATTAAGTATTCCTACCCAATAGAACCACAACTAACACAATTGGATTGTGGAGAATGAAAACATTTACCCCCACTGCACTAAAATAAAAAATATCAGTATTAAAATATAAATAATAAAAAATATAAATAAAATAAAAAATACCTACATAATCGAAAGTACAAAAGTTCTTGTCATCACAGTTAATAGTACTATTAACACAACCATCTCCTTTGTCATTACAGCTATAAATTATAAATATTATATTAGGATAAATTGTTGCTTAATTCATTTATTAAAATTTAATTAATAAACCTACACTTTGGGGTTACACAAATCATCTGTTATGCATCCCACCGAACCGCACTAATAAAAAATATAAAATTAGTATTTTTTACTTAAAATGAAAAAATAAAATTTAACTTACAGTAACACAACCCGGTATTATTGTATGCTCACATGCGTTTGATGATGGATTACAATTATCAACCCAACATGGGTTTGGAGAGGTACCTAAAAATAATAACAAAATTAGTAATTTTATATAATATATAAATCTTAAAAGGTATCATACAATTTTTTGGAACTAATGTACAACCAGTATCTGGAACACAAATACTATCGAAACATGGTGTGGGGGATGAGCAACTGGTAATTGGAACACTACAAACTTTATTAATACACTTTGCATTTATACATTTCTTAACATAAATTGGATTTTGATCACAATTACTTGGTAAACAACAACTTGTATTATCCCCCTCACAAACACCACAATCATCATACCGTCTAATAATTAAAATAAAAAATTAGTAAAAATATTTAACAGCTATTATTAAATCAATATTTACGGGCAAACAAATTTTAATGAAGTGGTGATTTGAATTGTTGATGCATCTGTGTGTCTTTCACAATAAAAGAAATCAAAAGGGTAGTTTTGACCGTCTACTAAACCAAGTGAATCTAAACTGAGTGTACTGGAACTTGGTGGATGGGTGCCACCGAGATCCACTGCTAATTTGTCATTAATAAATACCCATACATCATCATCCCCCTAATAAAATTAAAAGAATGCAAAAGAATATTAATTTTAAATTTTGAAAAAAAACTTGAATTGTAAATTTTGAAAAAAAATACTTTACAGTAAAACTAAAAACATCACCTTTTTTATATTGAAATTGAGTATGGGCCTGAAGACAAAAATGAAAATTCCTTGCTTTTTTTTGTGTATCATAATATAATTTTTCTTTTGGATATAAAGTCTATAAAAAAATATTTTAAATTAATATTTTATTTTTTTAAACTAACCAAGTTATCTTACTTTATTATCGAAACCCTCCCCATCAATTATAAAAAAAGAACTATTGTAATATGTATATAAATTTGGATTCGAAGGCACTTGATATAAAACAATATCTTTATAAATTGGTAAATTTACACCGGGTACATTGTGAAACCATGAATAAAAAGAATTTTGATCTTTAATTGTTCCTTTTCTTTGGTTCCCGCAACAATATACTGGGGTCCCATCTGCACCTAATGTATCTTTAACCAAACCCTTTTCAACCAAACCATTATTTGCTGGCTCAAAGTCGGGATTTCTTGATGGTGTTTGATCATAGATAATTGCATTTAATACAATTGCTAAATTTGATAATTTATAAATATATATATTATATTTTAAAACTATAACTATTAATAAAATATTTACTCGATTGGGTATTAATAAAATTGATTAAAAAAACTATTAGTATATATAAATATAAAATAATTTTCATTATAAATATTGCTTAATATTTATTTATTAAAAAAAGGTAAAAATTAATATTTACATTTATATACATATTTCCAAAAAAATTATATTAAATAATTATTATTTAATATAATTACAAATTATTATATTTTGCAATTGAATATAACTACAAATAATATATTTACAATTTGTTACAAACACCATGATTCCGAAAACAAAAAAATAGTAAGAAAAGCAAGGGAAAAAGTAATAAAATGCAAGTAAAAAAAATAAAATAAATAATAAAAAAAATTGCTCGCTGGAAACACATTGTGGGGGGTGGGGAACCACAAAAAAAAAATACAAAATGTATTTTTTCTGGAAAAAAAAATTTTTATAACAAAATGGGGTAGAGACATTTCATCACCCATTATTATAATAGAAAAAAAAAAAAAAAAGTATTTTCATATAGATAAAAAAATTTATGTATTGAATTAACAAATATATTTAAAAAACGACATTAACAATAATCTTTCCACTATATAGAATTTCGAGTTTAACTGTAGATATAGAAACAAATGGAAGAATTCTTTAAAAAAAATTCTTTTTAAAATAATAAAAAATAAAAAAAATAAAAAGCTGATTCAAATAAATTTCAATTTCGCTACAATATTTATGTTTAAAATTAATTACAGGTTATTTTTGTTTTTTTTTTTTTGTTTTTTTATTTACTATTTAAAAAAAGAACTAAAAAATTTATTTAATTTAAATAAATGATCTATCTGTGACCTAACAATGGAGTTTTTTCTGAAAATGAATCCAAGCTATTTTTTTTATATACACTAGTAATGATGCTACTATTTGGTGGTGTTGGTATTATTGATATGGTTGTAAAATCTTTTAGTATATTATTATAATTCTCTGTACTATAAATACCATCATCATCTAAATCAACACTTGTAAACTCTTTATTGGATGATGGCTCCAATGCAAAAGAAGATTCGATGGCACCTGATGAATTTGGCTCCACAACTAAAGAATTTAGAGACGATGTCGACGATGAGGCCGATGATACCATTGAAGAGGAGGGTGAAGATGAAGAAAAATTGGATGTGATTTGGTTAAGCGATGACGGTGTATCACTGTCTACTATATAATTAAAGTTATCATCCAATATACCATTGATATTATTGATTTGACTATGATTAATTGGTGGGTAATATATTTTTAACTTTGGTGAACCATTAAATCCTCTAAATTCTTTAAACTGTACACGAATTCTTCTAGAGGAAAAAAATTTATTATATTCGTAAAAAATACGATTTCTTTTTATATAAAACTATATTAAATTTAAAAAAAAAATTAGTATCCTTAACAATTGGATTTAGAAACTCCTATCGATTAACAACATACCCAAATATAACTTATAAATATAAATATTGGGAAAATTAGTAGACTGCTAAATGTACCTGCAACGATTGGTACTGATTCAAAAATATAATCTTTAAACAAAACTGATATTATTAAAAAGACCAAAATTAATATAATAAAATGTAAAGTTGATAAAATTGTAAATATTTTAATAAACTTTCTTGATTTTCTTAAATTTTTATTTATATCGTTAACTAAATTTGAATATTCCTGTGGCGATAAACTTGAGCTATATAATTCTTGAGGGTACTGTATTAGAAATATTTGATTGTTTAATAGAAATCTACTCTTCTTTACTAAGGGGTCATCAAACATTGGTACTATATATTTCTTAAAATTACTGTGACAAATTTCTTCATACATTTTTTTATTTTTTATTATTTTATTATTATTATTATTATTATTATTATTTATATTTATTTGATTTTAGTTTTATTTACATTATCGTTTATTAGTTATTTATTATTATTTTAATTTTGAATAATATAAATATTATAACTATAAAAAAAAAAAAGAAAAAAAAAAAAAAGAAAAGTATGTATTATTTAAGTTGTTTAAAAATAGTATACAAATAACTAAATAATAAAATATCTATATATCAAATGGTTATAAAAAAAATTAAATAATAAAAAATTTAAAAAAATTTAAATTTTTTTAAATTTAAAAAAATAATTTTTCAAACACCCAAATTAATGAGTGTATCCCCAAAAAAAAAAATTTTATATTTGTTTATTTAGTCTAAAAATTTAATATAATTTCTTTAAAAGTATTAAAACATCACAAATCTATGAAAACAAATATTAAGTTAATTATTGAACTGGTAAAAAAAATAAATAAAATTAAAAAATAAAAAAATAAAAATATTATTATTTATTAAAAAAAAAAACAAAACAATAAATGTGTGTTTGTGTGTGTGAATAAAAAAGGAATTAAATATTTATTTTATTTATTTAATTATATGAATAGAATTAAAATTTATTATATAATTTATATAATTTAATTTTATTTATTTTGCATTTTCTTTTGAATTTTATTTTAAAACTAAACAATAAAATTTTCATTACTATTTATATTGTCGTTAAAATTACTATTTAAAGAACTATTACCACCACTATTAATTCCACCATGTCCATTACTATTAATATTGTTTGCATTCACACTACCATTATTGATGATGTTAAAAAATGATGAAGCAGTTGAAGAGTTTGAAAATGTTGATGATGGCAGTGATGAGGATGAAGGTAAATCAAGTGATTGGTTTTGTTGATGATATTGATTATATAATCTAATCAATTGTAATTGTTGGTATGAGAATGGATAAAAAATAATTAATTTATATTGATAAGTTGTCGAAGTTTTTCTTAATTTTGGTTTAAATACAATTCTGAACCCTGTCTTTTCAGAATACTTTTGATTATAATCCCTTATCGTTTCTTTTACTTCTCTTTCCAACTATTATTATTATTATTAGTAATGATAAATATTTAAATTAATAAATTGAAATGGATGATGATTATTATTATTATTACTATTAATAATGTAATACTAACCTTTGTATTTGAATAATATAATTTAACTGAAAAGAATACAACCAAGAATGAAATAATAATTGATGATATTAAAAATACATACCAAGGTCCAAATAAAAAGAAAAATCCCAATAACCCAACAAGAATACTTAGTAATAAGTATACTGTAAACCTTCTTTTCTTGATGTCATTTGTTTTTATTATTAAATTTATATCATCGATAATCGATGAATATTCCTGTGATGTAAAATTTTCTAATGATGATAGTTCTTTTGGAAATTTATTATCGAATCCTGGGAATGGTGAGAACCAATTGATTCCATCATAAATTTTTACATGGTATTTATGATATAACGAAATATGTATTATCATTAACCTTTGAAAAATTCATTTCATAATAAAAAACAAAACAACCAATATAGCAATATAATTATAAAATATGTAATTTATTTATTTTTTTTATGGTTTAAAAAAAAAAAAATGAAAAAATAAAAAATAAATAAAAAAATAATTTTTGTTTTTTTAGGTAAGAAAAGTTTTTAATTAAAAAAAAAATAAAAAAATAAATTTGATTAAAATTTTATTTAATATCTATTTGTTTATTTATTTAATATCTGTTTATTCATTTATTCATTTATTTATTTATTTATTTATTTATACCTGTGTTATATATTTTGGTCATTTTTTTTAAAAAAACCATTGTGATTAAATGTGCGAACTTGAATTTATTATATAATATATTTAAACAAGAAATAAAAAAATAAATTAAAAAGAGGATACCAAATTTATTTAATTAATTAAATAAATAGGCCTGTATATTTATATTTTTTTGATTGTGGTAGTGGTGGTTGTGGTAGTGGCTTGTAATAAAATAAAACAAGACTAATAATATCTGTGAATAAAAATAAATAAAAATAAATAAAAATAGTTAATTTTTAAATAGTTTTTATTATTGGATGGAATGATAATAAACGATCTATTGTGGGGCTATTGTGATGTAATAATGTTTATAATAATTAAAATTGCCATTGGTCATAAAAAGAAATACCCCCTAAAATAAAATTATTTTTCTTGAAAAAAATAAAAATTATCTATTATTATAATTATTTATTATAATTATTTATTATTTCATTATTTTTATTGCTTATTCTCTATTTATGTTTTATATATAAAATGATTATTTATTTATTAATTGATTAATTGATTGATTGATTGATTGGTTATGAAACCATAATTTTTATTTTATTTTATTTTATGTTATTTATTTATTTATTTATTTTTTGAAGTATAAACATTCAGATAATGGAATTTATTATTTATAAAATATTTAAAGAGTGAGATTTGGATAACTATCCAATCTGTTTATTAAAACTATTATTATTAAAATGGTCTTATATATTATTAATATATGGTCCCCTATTTTTTTTTTATTTTTATATTTTTAAAAAAAAAAAATTTTATTTTTTTTTTATTTTTTTTATTTTTTTTTTATTTTTAATTTTTTTTTTTTAAATTTTTAAAAAAAAAAAAAAATTTATTTTTTTATTATATATAATAATTAATTTTATACATAAATACATAGATAATATAAAGTAAGATTAATATTACTTTTGTATTGTTATTTCATTATTATTATTTTTTTATCATTAAAAAGAGACATCAAAAAA